AGATAACATAAACTTTGCAAGGTCAAAGGGTTCGGAATATTTTGAAAAACTTGCACAGGAACAAAAACCGAAATCTCTTTGGATTTGTAAGATCAAAAAAAGTATTAATTATCGATCTTTAAAATATATATATTTTCTAATTTAGAAATCATTTTAAATCGTAGGTTGCTCTGATAGTAGAGTTTCTCCTGAACTAATCACTCAATCAGATCTAGGTGAAATCGTAATTCTCCGAAATGTCGCAAATCAATTCAAAAAAAAAGATCTTAGTGCTTTATCAGCATTAGAATATGCTGTGGAAAAACTTGATATTAAACACATATTTGTGTGTGGTATGTAGTAAAAGTATAATAGTTTTCACATTCTTCATAAGTACCGTATTTGTGCATTATAATGCTCCCCCTGTGCTTTATTTGGTTCATGCGCGTTACTTTGAAACGCGCATGCGCCTTTTTTGAGCAAAAATACGATTTTTTTTAAAAAAATCTCGTAACACATGGATGCTATTATAATAACTAAATTAGCAACAGAGTTTTAAACTCAAAATATTTTGTCTCTCATCGGGGTGTTACAAATGAAAAACAACCATTCCTACCGCTTTCGTGACACACCTATGTGCTGCTATGCAGCACATGGGAGTGACATTAACTTCAATAAAAAAAATGTCCTGTTATTTTTCATCGAATGACCAATATCTTATACTTATTTACAGTAACTAATTTTTTGATGCCCCGGCCCGCTATTACGCGTAAATACGGTAAAATTAATTTGTCAAAACTATACTAAAATTTTATGTAATTATAGGTCATTATGGGTGTGGTGGCATTAACCATCTTATAGATCCAGTGTGTAAGTATTTAAAAATATATGTATATTTTTTTCTTTCTGGGTAACACTAAATATTTTCTTCTGGCTAAACTAAAATGTTTCATTTTTATCAGATAATACAGATGAAAGTAGAGGATACATTGTGCGTACTCACATTAACAAATGGTTAAGCAAATTCATTGATGAAACTTATGTACCCAATAGACCTGAATTCTCTAAATTATTTGATGAAATATTAGAAGAATATAAGGATTCAACTGTTGATGTGCGAAGAGATTTATACATTAGGCGAAAAAAGGATAAGTTAGTTGAACTTAACGTCAAAAAACAAGTTGACAATATTTCTATGGCTGCTGTTGTTCAAAAAAAATGGAAAGAGGGTATTGAAGTTGTTATACATGGTCTAGTTTATGACCTAAAAACTGGTAAACTTAAAGACCTTAATTGTGACCATGATATTAACTGTTTAAGTAAGTTGAATTAAAATACTATAAATACCATCAACCCACCCTTCGAGATTGTATATAAAAAATAATTTAAACTGATTTATATCTTACTTATATTTACCAGAACGTCCTTGGATTGAAATTAAATGGAATCAAACGATAAATAATCTTGTGGCTTATACCATCATTGGGATATACGCATATATGATGTACTCCGTACTAACCGTTGAAGTTGTGGATAGAGAATTTCGAATATTCGTTCGGGTACCGACTATCGGTCAATTACTATGGGGTGAAGAGTATAAATCCCAATTTCCACAACCGTCTGCTACGTTCGTACAATGTGCTAATTGGGCAAGTTATTTTTGTGGATACTTTTATTAAGGTGTGGATTAAAGATATAGATAAAATGATTTTTACAATTGTAAAATTATTAAACTTTCGAGATTAGGAATTTTAAATTTCATGTTAAATCCAATTTTTGATCATTCGTGAATTATACTTAATAGGTTGTTAAAATTAAATTTATTATTTTTAATATATTATTGCATTTTTATATATTGTAGAAAGTCTACTTAAATAATTAATAATTATATATATATATATATTAAATTTCTAAAATGTATTTGTTCAAAAATAAATTAAAAGGTAGCTTTAGGTTTATAAAATTCAAATAAGTGAGTTGCATTTTTTAAAAATACGATATATAACAAAATACTATAAGTAGACTTATTTAAATAATTATACGTACGTAAAAAAAATTGATCTTACCAGTTACGTAGTTAAATTAGGCACCTCTTGAATGTGTGCCAGGTTGGTGGCTCAGTCAGCCACAGCTGAGCTTAAAATCACATGATTTATTTAACGTGGTCGAAATTATTAAAGTTGTATAATTAAACAAGTTTTGCAAATTTAATATAGATTTGGCAATAAATACAATGAATGTACAAGTTACAATTGCAAATATTTTTAACTCAAATTCAGTTTAACTGATTTTTTGCAACGTTCCCACCCAAATTATGCTCTTTTTTATTAACTTTTCTTTTCTTTCGGCACGGAATAGTTTGACTATCAATATTTTCTTTTATTCCATTCAAATAATACCTGACTTTCTAGCCCTACTAGATCCTTCCAATTTACGTCGCTTGACGGATTCAACCTGAACACGTATCATTGCACCACTTTTAATTCGCGTAGAATCCACGTTGCTGTTAATATTATGCAAGAAAGAGTTTAATCGAGCAATTGAAATCGACTTTGATGCATGGTATCGTTCAATAAATTTATTCAAAGCGGCACAAAATTGTGAACCAGCATTTTGATAATCGTTTCTCATTTCTTCTACGAAATTATTGAGAGCGGAATTGTCACTTTGTTCAATAATTTCTTCTGTTTGTTCAGATGAATCTCTAAAATATGTAAATTTATTAATAAAATAATTCATACATTGTAGAAGTAATTTCTGGCACTTTATTAAATAATGATTCTGGTTCTTGTGGAGTAAATGGTTCTTGTGAAGTAAAATTTGCGTGTAATGAAGCATAAAAAGAGCTATCTTTGGCGATTCGACCTAAAAAAATAAATAAATAAAATATTAATCGAAATAAAATAAAAATATAACATACAAATGTTATGCTTACCAACTGCAATATAAGTATAAATCATACGATCGTTGGGTGTTATAGACGGCAAAAAATTAAATATTTTAATGTGAAATTTCATTGCAACAGCACCTTGGTGCTTGCACGGCGCACCAGTCATGCAGACTTGACAAGTGCATGTTCCAATTTCACTGTTCACAGTATAGAAAAGGTCTTTTTGACTTGTGCTTAATACTAAGAACTCATTTTTCACGCCTGTTTCTTTAATCGAATCCATGTCAACCGTATCCCAACCAGGGCATAAAAATCATTTGGAAAGCTGTAGATAACCGGGGCGCCTGTGCGCAAAACCAAGCAATCGTCGTTCATAGAATTTTTCCATTTTTGAGGTAATGTAATGAAATACTTGGACCGAGTTATAGGCTTGTGTTCGCGCAAAAACTATATCTTTTAATAATCCAAAGCTTCGTTCAATATAATTATTCGTGTGATTTCCACGAATAAGTAGTTTTGAGCGAAATGATAAAGCCCAGTAACAGCGACGTTCCCATGAAATTTCGAAATGCCTTTTTAATAAAGGATAAGACGGATAAAAATCCTGTGTGAATTCAGTGTAATATAGATTCATCTCTGAAATATCTAATGCATAAAGAATTTTCTTCATCTTATTCATAATCAACATCCGATCAGCCTTAATGATGCCATGTTTGGAATCATATAGCCATCTCCAATTTCGCGCCCTCCTTGCTTTTTTTTCACCTCATTACTATGTATACAATGACGTTTTTCTCTAAAAATAACATGCTTTCCTTTAATTACAAACTCTTTGGTCTGGGGCATAGTCGTTTTGGAATATGTTTCAAATGCTAAAAACTATTCGTGTGCTTTTTCTTTATCATTAACATTCACGAATGCATCTAGTTCAATTTGTTCTATTTCAAAGTTTTCATTCGTTTGATAAGATGGTAATTGATTAAAATTTTCGATTAAATAGGTATATTGCTGAGGAAGTATGGATTTTAAAATTTCAGGTAAAAAATCCTAAGTATATGGGGTTTTTGCCTTGAAAATGACCCTACAAGACATTGTTACACAATATTTTTATTAAGAAAAACATAGTAAATCTATTTTTAGAAAAAAAAAATTCAAGGCAAAGACCCCATATATCTAATTTCATTAAAAAATATTAAATATCAGAAAAAATCAATTCATTAAAAAGTATTTGTTGAAATCATTAAAAAAAATGCATCTTTCAAAAAAAAAAAGTTCATAAAATCCGTCAAAATTTGTTAAAACTAATACTATTTCTATAACTCATTGGCAACACAACATTGACACCTTCACCTCAACTTCTACCCACTACCCCTATTATCTGTACACCCTGCCATAGCTGTAACCTTAACTCTAACCAAATTTCTAGCTGTTGTATCTTTTCTACTTAATTTTTGAAAAAAAAGAAAGCTAACAAGCAACTCAATCTCAATGCTAACTACATTGATCTTATTCAATTCACCAATATTAAAAAAGCTGCTAAAATACTATCTATACTATCAATCAACCCTATCAACTCACCTATACTTACTATTTTTCACAACAATAATGCCTCTTTATAGCTTATTCAAATGCACTAGCTAATCTTTTTCAGTATCAATTTACCTTTTATACAGATAGCTCTGTTAAATAACTTAGTACTAACCAATGCTCTATAGATATCAGCTAGGTTCAAGTCTATAATAACCAAGTTATATAAAGCTTCTTTGCTCAAATTACAAATTAGTCTTCTTTTTATCAAAATGAACTATTAATAATTCTATCTGTCATTTCAACTATTTCATACAACTTCAGTTTACAAATCTTTACTAACTTACAATTAGTCATATTCAAATACAACAAGCTCCTAACTCTATCTCCTCACTCTATTAAAAACTTCAAGTTTAACTCTTGGTCTATTTGGCATATACTTCTTAATATTCTAAAAGCTTTTAATATCTAACTTTTTCTTTACAAAGTCTAGATCTACTTTGACAATACTTTCAATAACCTTGCAAACTTACTTGCCAACAACTATTCTAGCTTCCTTTTGTTATTATTTAATTACACTAATCTCTATAATCTCTACTTTACTCTATTATAAAAAAACAACTTTGTTAATAGCTTTACTTGATAATTTATTAAAAATATATACAATACATACAATATAGCCTTATAGTCTTCTTAACACTATGCCCAAGAATAGTCATACTTCTTTTACCAGATCAACAGGAATGCCTCTTGCCTATATCTTAATAATAATTAAAAAATCTCTTATAACTTCACTAACCCTAAACTAAACTATCTAAAAGCTTTTAAAATCAAAATACTACTTAATATTTTATTTACATATGCATATTTTTACAATATATATCTTTACTTATTTATATCTTCCAATTGCTTTTTTGTAATAACCCAGACTCCCTTCTCATTAGTATACTTGCTCTAGCCATACTTTAATACAAACTATTAACTCTACTACATACAATACTTTATCTAACTTTAATTTTAATTTCTCTCTATCTTAACTAAACAATCTTATATATACTATCTTCTCATATCTAGCTTTTTATTTTTGACTTTCTTAACTTTATCTATTCTCTCTTTACTCTATACTTAAAGGCCTTATACCTATTTCTTTAATCAAATTCTTAAACCTATTTGATATTTCATATTCTAATGCTTTCTAACTTATTATTAAACTACTACTTAATATTTTCAATTAACTTTATAACAATGTCTAGATCTTATATTGTACAAAGTTTTTTCAATAGAAAAAATCTTATCAAATTCCTCTCCACCCTAACTACCAATCAATATCTTAATCCTTTCTACTCTCCTCTAACAAAAAAAACAGAATTAACTATACTTACAACTGTCCCTGCAGTTCTGCTAACCAATTATACTCAGAATCTAACACTTGCCCTTCTCTAGAACAAGCTACTCTCAAACTTAATATTTAGTTCACTTTGTAAATCAAATACAATACACTTACTAATCACATTCTAACAATCCAAACCTAGATACGTTTTGACTACTCTAATAGGTTTAGGTCACAGATAATTAGCCCAAGCTTTTAGCTTTAGCTTTTAGTTTGAGCTTTTAGTCTAAGCTCTTATTCTTGCATATAATTTATATTTATTTGTCTTTGTACAAATTAAGTTTTT